GGAGGCGGCTATTGCTTGGAGGGAGAGTCCCCCTCCCTACGACCATGTGTCGGGCGGAAAAATGGCCGCGGACCACGTGTCAGGGGCGGAAAATGGCTGTGGACCACGTGTCGGGTGGAAAAATGGCCGCAGACCACGTGTCAGGGGCGGAAAATGGCTGCGGACCACGTGTCAGGGGTGGAAAAATGGCTGCGAACCACATGTCAGGGGCGGAAAAATGGCCGCGGACCGTGTCATGGGAGGAAAAATGGCCGCGGATCCAGTTCGTAACCCGAGGCAGAGTTTGCAAACTGAGGTAAATTTTTGTGGCCAGAGCTGGTCGTAACCCGAAAAGTTCGTTAGCAGAGGCGTTTGTAACCCGAGGTACCATTGTACAGTACAGTACAGTATGAAGAGAGAGAACACTAACCTTGCTTGAGGCGACACCAAAAAGCATCACAACGTCTGACTGCGACCGCGATCTCACCTAGCGGAAGCCACGACCACGTGTCAGAGCAGGGAAGATGGCTGCGGGTCGTGTTCGTCACCCGATGCGGAGTTTGCGAATGGAAGCAAAATTTTACGAATGTTGCTGTTCGCGAACCGAATTGTTCGTGAACAGAAGTGTTCGTGAACCGAGGTATTACTGTATTTAGCCCTTTTCTCGCTGCCTCCGTCCTGTGTCAAAGTCCCTGCGAGGAGGGGGTCTCTGTCTCTCCAGAGGACTCCCCAAACCATCTTCCTGTCCCTCTTTCAGGCCTTCACACCTGGCAGTGGATGTTCAGCTGTGAGCTCCAGGGAAATGAGAGCAAAGAAGGGTTTATGCGCTTTGGATACAATGGGAGGACTTTCATCACCTTTGACAAGGAGACCCTCACCTGGGTGGCTTCCGAGCCCTAGGCCCAGATTATCAAGAGGAAATGGGACGCTATTCCAGGACTGAATCAGAGACTGAAGGCCTACCTGGAGGAGGAATGCACTGAGTGGCTGGAGAAGTACCTGTCCTATGGGAAGGAGATGCTGCTGAGGACAAGTGAGCATCTGGGCCCAGGCTGGGCTTTCCTCCTTTATGGCCGGATTTCTTGCAGATATTCGGCCCCGTTTGGGTCCCTGCTCTGCAGCCTGGATGCCCGGGAGGAAATCCCCCTCCTCCCCTTCCTGCCTCTCCAGGACGCGGGAAGCCCTGTTTGGTTCCTGTTGCCAGGCAGCCATTAAGTTGTGCAGGAACCGCAGCCTCTGCCCTCTCAAGCCGTAGGTGTGGCTGGCCAGAATCGGCCTGGTGGGTGTCTGTGTGGGTCAGGCAGGTGTCCTGTGCACAGCCCACGAGGAGGCAATAGGGCCACTTGGGGTTCTTCAGTGAAGCCACCATTAGCCAAAATGTGGCCAAGTCTGATGTTGGCTTTACTTCCTCCCAGCAACTGTCCTTCCCTCCCCATCCCACAGGGGGCTCCCTCCCTGTGCCTTGCACCTCCCACCCCCGGCTCTCCTCCTCTTGACGTTTTGGTGTCCCTTGAAAGAGGCCTGGAGCAGCCCAAGATTTGGGGGAGCGGAAGAGGACCCAAAAAGTAGGGAGAAACTTCTGTGTTTTTTTTTTTGAAAGGGAACTTAAAACAGCGGCTCCACTACCCCTCCCCTGAAGGGAGCAGCCCAAGATCAGTCAGTTCAAAGCAGCCCGTGTGGACTTTCCTTGGACCCTCAATTTGCCGGCAGAGATTTTTCAGACTGAGTCACTGGGAAGGACTCAAAATCAGGAGTCCTTGTGGCTGAGCATTTTCCAGATTTGGAGCATTTCCTAAAACTCTTGGAGGTGCTGCAGGTCTGGAGTGTTAAATCCTTGTGTTAAAATTAAGTAGCGGGAGACTTTCCTGCCTGTCAAGTTTCTCATCCCCCTTCCGGGCTCTGGAGGGGACCAGAGTTAATTCTGGGGGTGCCGTTTCTGCAGAGGCCCCAGTGGTGACACTGAGCAGCAGGACGGAGGCCGATGATGGGATGGAACCTCACGTCTGCCACGTGGATGGCTTCTACCCCAAGGAGATTGATGCCTCCTGGAAGAGGGAGGGGGAGGAATGGCTGCAGGACACCTTCCCTGGGTCTGTGGCCCCCAATGAAGATGGGACCTACCACTACTGGCTCAGCATCTGGATCAATCCCCAAGAGAGGGACCGCTATGGGTGCCGCGTGGAGCACAACGGCCTGCAGGAGCCTGTGGACAAAGCTTTGAAGGGTGAGAGGCTGCAGAGAGGAAGAGGCTGGGCTCTTTTTCAGGCTGGAGGATTGTGGGAGA